TCTCTAAATAGTACATATCATGTATTTACATTAAATTTCGTTATTTACATAAGTGTAGAAGTATCATCACTTTCTACGAACTCAATTTAACCCATGAATAAAGTTGGAATACTCTAACAGAAAATGTATTAGTGCAAGTATACCTTCGTATATTGTTTGCAGAATGGAGCTTATATTTCATGTGTACTATTTTTTAATTACATAATTAAAAAAATCAATTGCTAACTGTAAAATATAATCAATCGTTTTTAAAAAGTTAATGCAAATGAATTTTTCAAAGTATAATATCCTTAAAAAAAATAGACACAAGTACTGAATAAAAGCTATGTATAAGTTATATTCTGCAAAATATACATTGTCACTTGCACTTCAGACGAAAACCGTTTTTACATACTTCTTTCTGTTTACTTTATAAACAAGTAAATTTAGAAAAATATCTTGTTTACATTGTGTGAATTAAATCTTCTATTTCTTCCATACACGACACTAATATAATGTCTTTTATCTAACCATTGTAACATAATAATAAGAATATGTGCCAGCCTAGTTACAATTTCATTTTGCGTTCACTAGCGATTTCTATTGGATGCACGTATCATCTTTTTGTTTTTTTTTTCTTTAATAAAACCAACTGAACTCTTTGGTTACACGAGGAGAGCTAGGTTGCATACTTTCCTTTTTAAACCGCGACAATTAAATGATTTGTACAGCACAATAGTTGGAAAGCACACTTCCCTCACACAGATGTTTCTCGATTCGAAGAATTCATAAAATAATCGAACATGAAATTATGAAGCATATTTCATTCACTAATAAATTGCAACAAATGCAATATACAGACATTTTAAAAAAGAAAGATATACAATCGTAACTCAGTCTGTGTAGTTTTTGAACTACAAACCACAATAATGTGTTTGCACTACATTTGAAAGATTATGTATACATTTCTAGCTATTAAAAATTAAATTATTTAACAAAGTGGTATTTGTACCAGAAATAAGAAGGCAATTCTTCCAGTCCCAATTAACATAAAAGGAAAACAGAAAGATTGTATGATCTTTGTAAAATAGTATTTACAAATATGGAATATGTGTATATGCATCATGAAATTAAAATGGTTGCAATGACAATTGAATAAATATAGTAAATCCCATATAAAAGATCCCTGGCTACGTCAGAAAGATATATGTATATATCATGAAAATGCTTTGCCATCTAATCCGGTACAAAAGACTTTTCCTTATCTAAAGCTAAAAAGGGCACCTGATGACGATTTAAACAGTAAATTACGAATTCACTATCTAGTAACTTCTAACATGAAGACAAACATTCTACAAAAAGGAATGGTGTGTGTGTGTGTGTGATGTACATTACGATTAAACTTTCATGAAAATCGTCCTGTTTCGTTAATACTCAAATTGTTTAAAAAATAGCAGAGCATTGTCTTGCCTGCACAAGGGTATGTATATATTCATATGTACCTTTTAAAGTCCTAGTTCTAAGGCTTTAAAAGTGCTCAATAGTAACATTTCCGTTTCTAACTTCACATTATGCACAAGAGACAACATAAGTCTTGTTCTTCCTTGATTTACACAGTTAGAATGAAAGAAAAAACAAAATAGGAGTAGAACATTCGGAAGTGAAGCACACTGAATGTTACACGTATGAATGTACCGATACAAAGAATGGTATGCTTAAAGTACCGCTCGTATGTATGCAGCATGCATGTGCAATACTGTAATGAGTGGTGTGTGTGGCACCAGGAATGTAATGTATAAGAAAACATTATATTATAAGCTGGCTGTCGTCAAACGGTAATGCACGAGATCAGCTGCTGACAAAGTTGACTATACTGCAATTGGTCCCCACTAATTCTTCGCATTTTAATGCCTTTGACTTCCTTCTCTTCTGATTCACATACTCTGAGTTCTATTTGAACACCACCTGGGTATTCTAAACTAAGCCCACTACCCTTCACTTCTTCTCTATTAAAGATAAATCCCTTCGGTGGGGCTCTCGCGTCTATAATCTGTTTGACACGACCTAATATAGCCTCACTGTTTAATCTACTTGACTCGTCTGATAAAGTGACTTCGACTTCCGTCGGAATTGGTGTGTTCAATGGCCTACCGATACCACGCGTGATACTCGGTCTTAATGGATCGCATGGTTCAGAAATAATGAAACTGGGAAGAGGATTGTAATGAGGTAACGCGTCTTCTAGTGAGTCGGGTGACGGAGTTGGTGAAGGTGAACAACTGATAACTGTCACTTGTCCCCCGAGATCTGTTACAGATATCTGAGGTGGCACCTACAACAAACAATTCAGTACATTAGAATTCATTTTATAAAAATATTTAAAATATTATTCATTGCATAACTTATTGTATTAAATTGAAACATGTAAAATGAGCATCTTTTCATACAAACTGTGTACGTTTCTTTTTCTATACACAGTGTCCGACAATCCATGGTTTGACTATTTTAAAAGTAAGTCAATCTTTAAGACAAGATAACAAAAACATTAAGAGTAACAATATTTGAGTTTTAATTTCAAGTTATTAATGGTTAAAAACATTTCTGAATTATTATTGATGCACATAAGTCAAATTAGGATGAAAGACAAAGATAAAATGCATTATTGCTACTTCTGATTTTTGTCTTATTTTACCTTGTAAAATTATTTATCTTTAAAATATTTGCCACAGGTATTCGAAGGGCCAGGAAACAAACATGTCGGAAATACGAAGATACCTTCTTCTTAACATATATGTATAAATAAAAAATAAAAAAAAAAATATATATAAAGACACAATTAGTATTACTTTACTAGATTAAAATATTTCAAGTACACAAAATAACATTTCACATGCATCAACCTAATAGTAAGCACAATAACGAAGTAATATTTTCTCAATGTATCATATTTACTTACTACTACACATAATAAATAAATGATAATATATTTATAACACATGCATATCCTAGAAAAATAAACGAAAAATATGTAACTGGAAGATTTCTATTTTGCTTAAACAATAATCTGAATTTTTAAATACTTTAAAAGCAACTTACTCTTGGTATTTCCACAGGATGTTCTTCTTGAATCATGTCCAAAGCTGGACTATTACTAGGCGAATAACTAACTGGTGTTGTAGCTGGTGATCTATGATGTCTCAATGGACTTAAATCTAATGGTGTTGCCGGTGGTTGCGTTGGAGTACCATGTACAATGCTGCCTTGTACCGTTGTCGTAGTCAAGCCACTTAAACCTATTAAAGAAATAAGATATAGAAATTAATTATCATGAAACATTAATTATAATAAGAAAATTTGTATGTAAATATATCCGAAATAATGTATACCTTGTGTAATTGCTGCTACCCCTCTTTCATGTACAGGAGATCCAGGTATGCTTGCAGGGCTGTGCGATGGAGATGCTAACCTTTGTAATTGCTGGTATTCTTGCTGAAGTGCTTGAATTCCTGGTCCAGATGGACCAGAACCTTCTGATGCTCTTCGAACTGGTGAGTATCGTTCTGCAGCAACATGAGCACTTGGTTCCTTATATGAATCTCTGTTACCTACTGAAATCAATAAGATAGAGATTTGAATAACTTAATTATTAAAACTTCACAAATCACACTTTTACAATGCATATATACATATAATATAATATATATGCATACCTGCATATAGATATACATCAAGCCAAAGTACAAGATGTTCTCTTATTAACTTATAAAAATATTCTACAAAGATTTAATAACACTTATGCATTTAAGTGGGACACAAATGATTCGTGTATTTAATAACTGTACAAGTTTTATTATTTCCCTTCACTAATTATGAATTCCAATCTCATACTTGTGACTGACAGTATATGTAACAATGTTAATAGTGAACAGATAACACTTAAGAACAAATATTTTCTATGTATACAGAATGCGAAAAACCACACAAAATTTACCAGTGCTAGTATGGTACAAAGAAGTCTTCCTGTGATGTGTTGATCCTCTAAGGTGAGATGGTAAGAGCCGTGATGGGAGGTAAGCTCTATTCATCCTAGCTTCCACCTCCATAACCATTTCCGGGTTTATAACTACATGCATATTACCAACCAACGAGGCATGGCAGTGCAGTAGACACAAAAAAACCATGCAAAATCAAAAATAAAATCAAATAAAACACTAAGTGAATGCTAAAATCAAAAGATATTAAAAAAGATGTGGCAAATAAAGTATGTCTATGCTATCTAAGATAAACAAATTTAATATAAATTTGGAACTTAATAATTAGAAGAATATACTGTATATAGCGTATAATAAATTCAAATAGTATGATAATATCACTTATTACAAGTACATGAATAAATATGGCGTATACAACAAAATTGAATATAGGATCATATTTAAAGTATCAGAATAAAATTACTTTAAATATCAACGAATATACATATTATGTATATGTAATAAATAATATGTATATATAATATACGTATTATATATTTTTTTTAAAGGAAACATGCAGAGTAACACTATACAAAACATACCAATATATCAATATCGAAATAGCATAAAGGTATGAACAAGGCATAATGATCATACTTACAGCCTCAAAAATGAAGAAATATAGCAAGCGTTTAAACTAACTGGTACAGCAAATTATAATAATCAAATCTCACTGTGGTAATATGAAGAATGGTATAATAAAGTGCACCGATATTTGTGCACGCAAATACCTGAAGGATATAACCCACAATACCTGGTCTTTGCATGACAGCAGTAAGGCCGCTTCGTCGTCTTCTATCACTGCCTCCACTGCCACTGCCAGTGTTATTGTTATTTGCATCTCCACTACCATTATTGACTCCTACATTTAACGATTGAGCACATGGTACAAGTGTTGGACTACCAGTTGGAATCTGAAGTGATATAAAATTTATTACAATATGCGTATTTAAAGTAACGTTTGATATCTATTTTTGTCTTACAGGTTGCAAGTGTTCCCTACTGCCAGGTTGACTCCATCCTCCATCATCACCACTACCGGAATTACTACCATGTTGTTGATAGAAAACATGAAGATTAGCTCCACCATCCGAAGCTCGTCTTCCAAAGCCTCCCGCTGTAACGTGTGAAATACTTATTAAAATGGACATAATCGATAACATTAAAGATGGTTCATATCATAATACTTACTTGCTCCCATAACCGGAGGCGGCTTTAACAAATGCTGATCCTTGATTTGAAAGTTTTGAGGAGGCTGATGTTGAACTAGAGGAAGGTTTAATGGCAAATTTGTATGAGGTAACACTTGAGGATCAGTATTGTTACACTGTAGTATAGGAAGGAGTCGTAGTGTTGGATCGCCCGTGTTATGATAATTATTATATGGATATGGTGTTGGTGGCTGATGAGCTGTATCACCAGGGCCAACTGTGTGTCTTCTTGTAGTATGGTAAGGTGTGCCAGGTGTAAGTTGCATCCCACTTCTCTCTTCTGTTTCTGCTTCAGTGTCACCAAACTGTAAAAAGGAAAAAATTCAGGAAATTACAAAAATAATATATTTTTAAGATGAATATTTATAATTTTTACCTTTTCTAATTGATGTGCACCATCCGGGGCATAATCTCCTGGTAAACTTTGAATACTAGGTAAACTAGGCATTGTTGGTTCTAATCGATCAACAAGAAGATTATATATTGCTGATACATGATCAAAAGCATTGCCTTGAACAGCTTTTAATAATGTATCAGCACTAAGTCCTGGTAATCTTAACATATTTTCTATTACTAACTGATTTAGCTGTAGTGGCACATTTTCAGAATTACACCTATAAATATAAGATTAAAGAGATTTATAATGTACATTCTTCATATATAACTCAGTATATTTATATTTACCCTCCTGGTTCTGGTTCCGTGACACCATCTCCACCCATCCAAGAGTGTGCTAAAATTTGTGAAATACTTAAACGCCTTTCAGGTTCTACTACCAACATATGTCTAATCAACTTTTCACACTCTATAAAAATAAATGTATTATTACAACAGTAATAAAGTCATACATGATATACAGAAACTATATGGAACGAGATATACCCGCAGACATAAAAAATGGTATTCTGAATTTTCCTGAGATAACTACAGAGCGTAATAATTGCATTGTCGGTCCATCAAAAGGCAATGCACCACAAACTAGTACATATAAAACGACACCGAGACTCTGAAATCAAACATTTAATGAGAAATAATAATTAGAGTGTTTAGAAAACTAGTACTTCTAGAAATTGTACTAGAAGTTGCATTACATACCCATACATCAGCTCTTGGACCATCATATTGCTTCCCTTCAAAAATTTCAGGTGCTGCATATGGTGGTGATCCACACCAAGTACTAAGTGGGACACCTGGAGTATATTCATTACTAAATCCAAAGTCTGCAAGTTTTATATTATTGTCTGCATCAAGTAGCAAATTCTCAGCCTGTAATAGTTAAGCATGATAATGCATAAAACCATATATAATTTGTCTGACTCTTCGGTACTCTGGTACAATAGTATTTAGGACACAGATATGAATGTAGACCTTTAAATCTCGATGAACAACTCTTTGTTGATGAAGATAACGAACAGCAAGAACAATTTGACGAAAAATTCTTCTTGCCTCTGGTTCTGGCATTCTCCCATTTCGCACAAGATGATCGAATATTTCTCCTCCAGGTGCGTATTCGGTAACTAGATATATCATTTTTTCTGTCTCCATTACTTGATACAACCTTATAATATGTGGATGCCTTAAGCGCTTCATTATGTGTACTTCACGAAAAATTTTAGCCAAATTTTCCTCATTCAATTTTGTCTTGTCTATTATTTTAATAGCCACCTGTAATAAATATATAAATTTTAATAATCATAAGAAAACTTGAGAAACATTATATAAAATAATATATAGTAAGATATGTATGTGGTACACTGCTATTCATAAATTTGAATTATTATGAGCATGCTTAATAAATTTTTGAGAAACAATAAATATTCAGAGCTATGATATATCTACCAATAATATTTTTATTACTTGTTAGCATTACTTTTAAACATCTTTGTATTTAACAAAAATATATTTCACTTATCTTAACATATACTTTATTCTACAAATTAATCTGTGTCATCAATAGATTACTAAACAGCAGTATTTGAGTTGATTCGGGTATAAAGTAGCGGAGAATATACAAAGAAAAAAAAGCGACACATAACGAACGTAAGTTAAAAAAACATGTATCATGTACGTAGATATGAATCGCATCGATAAATTTTTCTACAAACTAACGTAGAAGTTCTTGTTTTTATTTCTACAACCAATTCAACCTGGTAATAACTGGTAATAATTTGAAAAACATCGAGGAAACATATTTCAATCGATGTAGCAGTGTCTGTTGGTAATATCGTTTCTCGATGTATTTTTTGAACTTGTTAGTCTCCCTTGTGTCATGACAACTTGTTGTTACATAAAAAGCCATAGAGAACCGTAAAATAAGGCAAAATTTACGTGTCCACACCGTTATCCGAAGATATAACGACAAAATGACGGATTCCTTGTTTGCGAGAAAAATGCATTAACAACGGGCTCACCTTCGATTTCGTCACGACGTGGGTAGCCATTTTAACGACGGCGAAATTCCCCTTACCAATAGTTTTCTCCAGTTCATAATAACCGACACGAATAAGTTTGTTGACAGAAAATTCCTGCGAAACCTCATTGTGCGACGTCGTCGCGGATGCCATTTTTTAATCACTTGTCTCGCTCAACTCGTTACAAATCACTTACTGTTTAGTACATCAACATTTCCAATAGAGGCGCTGTCGATCGCCAATCCACCTGCCATCTAGCGGGATAGTTCAAATTTTCAAAAAAATGCTTGCACAAACATGCAAAGGAAATCAATTGTTGTTAATTATATTAGAAATGTTGTGATCATGCTTTATAAAAAATAATCCAGAATTATTAAATAAAATTAATTTCCCTTAAAGGTAGATTAGGTTTCTTTATTCACGTAATAAATATTGTTTGTTTACTGTTTCATGTACAGTCACATGATTATTTAGGGCAATACCTCTATAATCCACCACCAGAGGACTGTGAATAAATAATTCTTGTAAGTTCTCCAATTGCAATATTTATAATTTTGTAAAACAATATAATCCTCTTGGAATTTAAATTCCACTACATAATATAAGGCGTGTTAAGTAAATTATGACAAAATATACAATTGTATCTAAAAGTTATAGTTGTATGAATTTTTTCCCGCCAAATGATACTGTATATGTATACTCGAAGGATGAACAGAGTATATAAATACTTTAAACTTGCTAACAGTACTATGTATATGTATGTATCCGAAAATCTTGAATTATCGGTAACGTCGGGTGTGACATAGAAACGGTTAAGAAAACAATCAACAATTACGTTTCATGTTAGAATTAATCTTTCGATTCAAATGTGTAATGTATTTATGGGTCTATTGTACACACACATTGCTGACAATGCAGATGTTAACGAATTGTTATGCAAGATAAATCTAATACAAAACACAACGATGCGTCTTCGAACTTATTGTTAGACTACATCACAAACTTCGAAAAGTTCAGAAAAGCTCAAAACTTTTCATAGAAATATAGACATACCAAAGACGATTTTTTCAGCAATACAATTCAGTTCATGAATACCAATAAGTTCTACCAGATGACGTTTCAAATCTGCCGCGCTTCATTCAAAGGTTCAAACATCGCTATTACAGGTAGTGGCAAAACATTGAACTTTCAAACAAAATGATCAACTGTTGATAATATATAAAAATAAATATACATAATTACGAAAATCCTAGATGATTTACCTATGTAATCTTGTTCAAGAATCGGAAGAATGAACATTCAAAATGAAATCTTGCAACCAAATCAAATTCTAATCTGATAAAATGCAATGTCTGCATATCTGAAAATCTTGAAGTATCGGTAACGTCAGATGTGACATTGAAATGGTTAGAGAGTGTTAGATACATTCTGAATCAAGGCTAAAAAGCATTTAATGAATGATCCGAAGTCTAAATACGGCAGCAAATATTTTCCATGAAACTATAATGTATATGTATAAGCTTGAGTTCATTGGTCTTCTTTTTTTTATAAATTCAGTGGCATTGGATGCATCATCCCTGTGAAGTTTACATTCAGTGCAATTATACCATTCCTTTCATAAAATAGTACTGTTTTAATTAAAAAACGCTCTATTTCCACACTGTTTCTCATATTGTAGAACATATTCGGTTGTAATCATATCTTTTGATCAGGAAGATCAACGAAAATTTTCCTACAAATTGTATTTTACGAAACCTCACAGTGCCTCTTCTATGGTTGTGAAAGTGGGTTGCTTTCGTGTCATTGCCATACGCTATACAACAGTATTCGCCGCGAAAACTGCTACGTAGACGAAAACAGATTGTGTTGGATTGTCGGAAAGCGTGTCTTAAGAAAGATATAATAATTAAAAATGGAATTGTTTCGATGAATATCACGTATCTGATTGTTCGATTGTCACGGAAATATGAAAGTATCAACTACATAAAGTAAACACTTTTCATTTACTGAGAAAATACATCTTGAAAAATGGAAGAAAGTTCGGTATTATGGATGCTTTCCTTAGTGATGTTAATTGGTTCCTGTATTTCTGGATCATTACCTTTAGTCATGAATTTGTCCGAGGTAATTTGTTTATCATTGCATGATGGACAGAAGAATAAAAGATCCCTTTTATCGATTATTTTCTGTAATTATCATGCACTTGAACTACTGGTTACAGATGCTACAAAGAACTCTCCATGATCATGAACATCATGAACCTTTAATCTTTCTAGGACAAATTACAACTGACTTCGATACTTGGTGCAGGACTTCTTGTTGGCACTGCGTTAGCTGTGATAATACCTGAAGGTATAAGAGCATTGTTTACTGGTGGAAGCAACAGCCATCAAGAATTACACAGTTAGTATTACTAATAGATTAGAATAACAACTGTAAAAATTATTATATTTTATTATGCAAACAGTATTAATGCATTCTTGAATGGATAAATTCCTGAACATATACAGTATAACTGTTCGATTAGAAAACTTTATATTTTTCTTATAAGAAACTTCAATTGCTTCTCCAATGGTGGTACTATAGATTAAACTATTGTATAACAAATTATGAAAATTGCATTTTATTTCTAGTATGGTAGGAAACATAGAAAAGTGTTTACAGTATTTTAGTTTTATTAAAAGATATGCGCTTAAGTTTTAAAGTCGATTAAACTGTTTGGAAAATTCAATGTTGTTTAATTTGAATTAATTTATTGTTTCTTATCTTTATCTTTTTAGATGATCCTCACTCCTTAATAGGCATTAGTTTAATACTTGGTTTTGTATTTATGCTTCTGGTTGATCAGTGCTCAGCTAGAAGAAGTGGAGGAAGAGAAAGAAGTGTTACTGCTACATTGGGTCTTGTAGTTCATGCAGCAGCTGATGGAGTTGCATTAGGAGCTGCTGCAACTACATCGCAAGCTGATGTAGAATTAATTGTTTTTTTAGCAATAATGCTGCATAAGGTAAAAAGAATAAGGAGATGTGCAATATAATTTACTTAGGGTATACAAGACCTGACATGAAATTACAGTAAACTTGAAAAATCCAATTAATAATGTCCTACAGGCTCCAGCTGCATTTGGTCTTGTATCATTTTTACTTCATGAAGGAGTAGATAGGAAAAAAATAAGTAGGCATCTTTTGGTATTTTCTCTTGCTGCACCCTGCCTTGCTCTTCTAACTTATTTCGGTATTGGGAAGGTAATTTAAAAATTATGAAAAATCAAACTGAAACTTATATAAATATTAACACAATTTAATTCCTTTTTGTAGGAAGGAAAAGAAACTCTTAGTAACGTTAATGCAACTGGTGTGGCAATGTTGTTTAGTGCAGGCACATTCCTATATGTTGCAACTGTGCATGTTCTACCAGAATTAATGACGAGAAATAGCAACTATACCCATTTACCAACTGCTGACAACATGACAGTGACTTCTTCAGGGCTCAAAGTTAAAGAAATATTAGTTTTAGTGATAGGCTCATTGCTGCCTTCATTGATTACAACTGGTCATCACCATTGACAAAATCATCATACAAAAAGTACATTTATGTTTCCATTGTGTATAATATAAAGTATCTCCCTTATCAGAGGGTATAATTTTTTAATAAACTTCATGATTTTTATTTGAAATCATGAGGGTGTACCTAAAAAATTTGTCTGTTTGGACATTTTTTTTAGTAATAATTAAGTGATACATTCTATGTATTGTATATAATTGTAGAAAGGGCATATCACATAATGATTATACATTTGTATAAATTTGAAAAATAGACGTATAGGATACAAATATTGTGTACAATAATAGAAAGACATTTAAATGAGTTTCTAATTTTCAGTGATACTTATTAAGTATTATTTATCAGTAGACAAATTTTTTATACAGAACTCAAATATTTTTATTCTTATATTACTCCATGCTATTACCAATTCATTATATTTTCTAATATGTATTTACATGCTATACGCTACATTTGAAACCATAAAAATGTTTTGTAATTTCACTCCATAAAAAATGGTGAACAAATATAAAGATTTCGCACATGATGACCTATATATATATATAAATATATACATGAAACTGATACTATTAATTATGTTATATTAATTTCTGTTCAAATATATAACAAACGTTTCAATAAAAATTACGTCTAATGTGTGCATTGTCTCTTTTTATACACGAATTTCCTTTGACCAATCAGAATAGCTTATGACTATGTGTCCAAATCTTCAAATATGACATACATATGTTCTTTGTGTATTAATAAAACCAAATTGAAGCTAATGTTAAAGTGCTAGTAAGTTCGAAAAAATGTGTGTTTTTGAAATGTGTTACTAGTTGGATAATTATTTTTATGTAAGATGAGTCAAGGTGCTTTCGAATTTAGCCGCTAATATAGTTAATGTACACTGTTGCCAAAAAGTATCTGGACAGTAATCATTTTTGTGTTACATATGTAGCACTATATGTATGTGTTTGTATGTAATATAGATATATATTATTGAACAACGTTTATTGTCAAATTCTCTTAAGAATATGTATTTATTAGTACTATTGCGTTCAGTAATTAAATTATGTAAATCCTTTGAATGCTTTAAATGTTTTAAATAATTCAATGTTAAAAATAATCTACATTCTACATTGTTTAATATTCAGAGGTATATGTGCATAGTATATGGGTAGTTTTTAAGATTTTCTTATTTAATAACTACATACATTGATGTTAACTGGATATAACAATTTAATATTTTATAATAATAAGTAGAAAATTATGTCTATTATATATATATATTGTGTATTTACCAAAAAAGTGAAAAATTAATACATACTATATAAAATTTCAGGAAATTCGTTACAAATAATTTTGTAAGTATGTATGTACATAATTGCAATTATGAAAGTGTCCACATACTTTTGAGTGGCAGTGTATGTGTTCCGGAACTGAGGTGACGATCCGAATCCTTTGTTATCACAAGCCGTGGCCGCATACAGCTGTAATTCACAACAATGGTGGTGCCGGTCGTGTTTTAGGTTAAAGTTGCGTGGCTTCAAATAACAGTTTAGTCCAATTTAGAGTTGTGAAAAATGGACAATAGGATCACAATATGTGACCCGGACGAAGAAGAAATCGACGATGGAATATTTCAAGATATCGAGCCAGTCACGTGGATTAACGATGATCCAAACTACGATTTGGATGAAGTCAACATGTTCTTCCATAGGGTGGATTCTGATCAGATTATATACGAGGAGAAAAAGAAAAAATGTAAATTTATTGGTAAATATGTTATGGGTGATGTTCTTGGTGAAGGTAGTTACGGAAAGGTGAAAGAAGTGCTGGACTCAGAGACACTTTGTCGTAGAGCCGTGAAAATTTTAAAAAGGAAGAAACTTCGTAGAATCCCGAACGGAGAGCTTAACGTTCAACGGTACGATTAACAAATTTTCATATTCTTCCAGAACAGCTTTTTATATCGATTACAAGACTCATTATGAAACACTTTCAATCATTTACACTATGTACTAGATTGGTGTGTATGAAATGTCTTTTTCAATAGAATGTCAAATTGATACAATGTTTTTGAACTTCCACACATTTGATATATGTACTTTCCATATTACTGTTTTAATAATAAACAGATATCATCGTTTTTACAGTTTTTACAAATATCAAAATT